TCCTGGCCCAGGCGCAGCACGAGCGGGCGTTCCTGCGGGACGGGGTGCGGAGAATCCCGGTGCGAGAAGGGAGGATCCGGGCGACGCTTTTCCTGCCCCCCGGTGAGTACCGGCCATGCCGGGCTCCCTCCCCCACATTGTTTCCTCTACTTTCGGCCCCGCAGTCGCAGGTCCGGAGCCAGAGCGCCTCTGGGCTCCCCTAGCGCTCCCGACCCGGCAGAGGACAAGGGGGTGGTGCGTCTCGCCAGTAGGGATTGAGCACTCCTCAAGGCGTGGCCTGATCAGCCCGACCAGCTTTGATTTGCCGGCCGTACTGCTCACACGGAGCAGGCTCATGTGTCTGTTTATCTGACTTCTACTGGACATGAAGACATAGATCACAGTACACTTTTTGTTCCCAAATGCTATGGGAGGTGGAGTCAGCCAGTTTTCAAGGCACTTTTCCTGCACCTTAATGTTTTCCAGAAAAATCAGGTGGTAATTCTTTTGAGTAAGTGGAAGATGTTTTCCTAAACTGAGGAGTTTAAATCTGTGGCTTCCCTTTCCAGCCTCTCCACATATCCTGAACTTAGTAGTGTCCTATTTGCTGTAGTCCAAGTTGCCTTTTGCTGCCACATTTGTCCCCAGTTCTTCCCTGTTCATGAGCAGGTCAAGGAAAACATTGGAGAGACTTGCCCTGGCAGGATTTTTGTCAGAAAATAATGGAAAGGGCTTGTGAGTTTTTCAGATTGCCTGACAAATGCTGTGTTATCCTTCCATCACCTGTCCAGATTTCTGCTAGTTTTCTGTAGGGAACCTCAACTTTTGCATTCCCTTGGTTCTGCAGTAGCCATACCCCCACAGTATCCCACCCTTCCTTCCCCCCAAGATACAGAGGTTTTCACCAAGCATGTCTCTGGAACCCCAAGGAGCTCCTCTATGTATCACGTGCCTTCCCCTCTCCCCTTTCTTTCCTGTCTGTACCAGATAACTCTTTCATGACAGTTCTAAAATCATACGTGCTGTGCCAGCCAGAGCCTTAGGCTCTGACTTCTCTGACTTCATCTGTCTTCTTGAGGCTGGAGGTGAATTTCAAGTTCTTGCTTGTTACATACGTTTGATGGTAGTGTGCAGACACCTGAGGGAAACCTCACCCTCCTTCCTGAGCAGGAATGGAGGTCTCCCTCTTGGCCACCTCCTTTCCATACTTGGTTAGTACTTTGCAGCAATCCCTCTCAGCTCTGGACTTCAGTCCCTGTCCCATGATGAACCTAATGTAATGCTTCCTTTACCAGGTAAGCAAGGCTGGTTTCAAATACTTTCTTCTCTTAATCCCAGAATAAATGACTGAGGTGCATTTACACTAAAATTGAGAAGCTGGAACCATCAGAAGATGAGATTTTGAAGCAGAGCTTAATACATTTGCAGTGAATTTACACGATACAGAGAACTAAATGACTGTCAAAAGATCCCTTTTCTTCCAGCTGCCTGTTTCCTGATGTTATCTAAAACATTAGCAGACCTGCTAAATTATGCTAGTTTGTTTAATCTTGAAGCAATGTAGCCACTTCATTAAAACTGTCACAGTAATTTAGGACTCTCAATACCATTCTACTGCTGTATTTTTTTATTTTTTTTAAGACGCATTCCAAGGCCTATGAATTTGGAATGTAAATTAAAAATTGTGGGTTAATGTGTTCTGTTATGTGGTCTCTCTCAGGAAGTGGCCCCTTTCCGGGAATTATTGACTTGTATGGAACTGGAGGAGGACTCCCTGAATACAGGGCATGCCTGCTGGCCAATCACGGCTTTGCTGTGCTGGCTCTGGCTTTCTACAGCTATGAAGATCTCCCCAAAGATATGAAGGAATTCCACCTGGAATATTTTGAAGAAGCTGTAAACTATATGTTACACCACACCCAGGTTAGTTTGTTCATTGACTCACTACAACGAACTCTCATCAGTTAGGTCCTGTCAGACTACAGATGGGGCAGAGCTGCTGTACCTAAAATAGCATTGCTGTTGAGTTGGCTGTTATTGTTTTATATCTTTTAACTCCCATTAAAATGGCTCTCTGGCAGATTATTCCATCTCTTCCTTTTGATCTGCCCAAGTGAAACAGTGACACATTGGTCACATACTGATAATTTCTACTCCATTCAACCCAGTGTCATAACTAGGGTGCTAGTTTCCTGGAGGCTTACTGGACTTGCAGTGGGGATTTCAGATTTATGCTCTGTAGAATGTCCTTCAGAACTAAATGTCCTTTTCAATTGTGGAGCATATGATAGCCTTCTGTGATCCAGATCTCAGGGAAACCAAGGAAACTCAAGGAAGTCCACCGATACACATTTGATGCTGTGTATTTTATAAGCTCTTAAAATCACTCCAAATGTTGGTATTTCATAAGTATGGGTTTTAATAGCTAGTTATACACTTAGGGATCCTTCTAATTCAGCACCTCTTGGAAGAGAGCCCTGCTCAATTCTGCATCTCCTTATAAGTAGCTATGAGTGAAAGTAGCTAGAATTGCACAAACCAACACTTGGTTTCTCTGGAGAATGAAAATAAATACCTTCCTCCATCTCAGAAAGATGAGTAGTTCTTAAAGGTCTTGTCTGCTTTTTAGTTACCTTAACCTTAACTGCTCATGGCACTTTTCTGCCCAAAAAAAATCTGAAAATTGCTTCACCCTGCATTTTTTTCCCTTGAGAGCAGTACAGTACCATTGCCTCTCATTAACACCTCCACTGCTATTCTTGCCGTATTTTTAATACGTTGCAAAGTTTCAGCCATATTTTCTAATTTCTTCCTTCCCGTATTTCAAAGTTAATGGGTGTGAAGCCTGTTACACTGGTGATAAGACACAGAAGGTATTAGATTCTGATGCTGTCTCAGAGCCTATTTGCCCCTGAGAGTCTTTGGATATTGAAGAGTTGTGGTATTAGCTAACCCTCTTCCAGTATCCTTACAGGATTTCAGCACCCAGTAAGGTCATTTAACTTTCCTATTCTAGTTAATTTGCCTTGTGTAAAAGAAAATGAAGGTAACCTAGTCTAGACTGACTACAGGGGACTGTACAATTCTCCTGGAAAAATGGTTTTAATAGGTTATATTTTTAAGATGAATTTTAATGAGTAAGCTACCTCAGACCACTTCCTGTGAGTTGGATACCAAACATTGTAGAGAAGCAGGAGAGCAGCTCATGTGGAGCCTGCCACCCCACGTCAGCTTCTTAGTAGGGGAACCTTGAATATAAGAAATACATTAACGTAAGTGATGACAATATCATAGTCGTTGCTGGCTTTGAGCATTTTGCACTGAAAGAAAGCAACTGCAGAGGAGGCCTCCCCTGCACTTGCCCTCTTCTTCTATTAACTGCATAATAAATAAAGGGAATCTGGGACTGCACATTTGCAAGCACAGCTGTACTCTGCTTCAGCACTGCACCTTGTAGCTTTGTTAGGATGATACTGCAGTCTCAGTAGGGCTTAGGATCATAAATCAAGCACAGAACAGTGCCTAGGATCCTTCAGACATGGGCCCTGTACACAGAACCTCAGATGCCTGTAGGTGGGGTCCAAATTTAGGACAGACAAAGCTGCAAACATGGCAATATATTAAAGTGGCATGCCGTGGTTCTTTGTGGTTTCTCTTCTGTCACCTGCAGGTTAAAGGTCCAGGAATTGGTTTGCTTGGACACTCAAAGGGGGGTGACCTGTGTGTCTCCATGGCCTCCTTCCTAAAGGGCATCACAGCCACTGCCCTTATCAACGCCTCAGTGGCAAATGTCGGTGCGGTGCTGCGCTACAAGGACATCACCATTCCACCCCTTGGGATGAATCCAAAACGCGTCAAGGTTGGCAAGTCCGGGATTGCTGATATTATTGATGCATTGAACAGCCCACTAGAAGGGCCTGACCAGCAAAGCTTTATCCCTTTGGAGAAGGCTCAGTGTTGCTTCCTGTTCATTGTTGGCCAGGATGATCACAACTGGAAAAGTGAATTCTTTGCAGTTGAGGGGAGCAAACGTTTGCAAGCTCATGGGAAGGAAAAGCCTGAGATAGTCTGTTATCCTGGAGCAGGACACTACATTGAACCTCCCTTTTTCCCGATGTGTGCAGCCTCAATGCACCTGCTATTTGGCAAGCCTGTGATGTGGGGAGGGGAGCCCAAGGCACACTGTGAGGCACAGATAGATGCTTGGCAGCAGATCCAAGCATTCTTTCGTAAACACCTCACAGGCGAGCCATCTGGAACATCCAGTAGGCTCTGATATGAATTAGGTTACTTTACAGATGAAGATGCTGGTTTTGTTAAATGTTCTGTTAAATTGTTTTGTTAAATGGCTCAGAATGAGAACAAGGAACATCAGAGAATAAGCTATTAGGTTTCTTGGAGGATGATGGTTGGTGAAAGCAAGAAAGCAGCTTCCTTTTTATACCCTCCTCTAATCTTGGTTAGAAGCCTTGGCCTCCTGTTTTATGTAGTACAGGGTTATAAGCTGTGGAAAACAAATGGTGGTAAGGCTGTGTGCTTTGAGTGTGAATTGAAGTGGTAGGTAACTCATCCAAGCTGAGAACCGGGATGAAAACATGCCTTGGCCTTGTCAGCGGAGATGTATGCCGATGCTCAGCTTTGTGTTCTAGTTCCAGTATTCCAGTTTTTCTGGAGGCAGTAATCTGCCTTCAGTAATGTTTCTGTCCTCCCTGTGCACTTCTCCCTCCTTTGTTGCTCCTTGCCCTTCTCTCAAACCACTAAAATGCATCTGCCTTAAAAATATCTAATATTTCACTTCACATTTATAGGCAACAAACCAGCCCATAGCTTGATGTGATGTTTTGAGAGCATGAAGTAGAAATGAGACATTTAAACAGTCTTTGGGAGTTCATAAGCGTGAAGAAACAACAGAACAGGTCCTGTTAGTTGTCATCCTGGAGTTGCTTCCGGGCGTCTCCTCAGCACGGCTGGCTATTGCTGTGGAGATCCGCAGCACTGTCGGAGCTCCCTGCCTGTACATTCCCCAAATGCCGGCCCAGCTCCCTGCTCCTAAGGGCTGCTGAGAACAGCCCGGCGGCGG